AGGGTAAAAAAGGAGGGGGCTGCAATGCTTGGTAAAAAATGTACGCATTATCCTGCCCATGCAATTGTAACCCCTCTGTACAGTATGTTCATAAATAAAATAAAATAAAAATTTAAAAAAATGTGTGCTGTGTGGGTTTAGAATGAGGAACCTATCTTGAATTTTAGGAAAAAATATTTGGGGAGTGTCACAGGTCTCTCTCTTGCCTCAGTTAACAATCTTGTTGCAGCTCCACATCCCTTTGTATCCTGGAGAACACACAGCTTTGTATGCTCAGGGCTACAGCATTCTCGGCTGAAATGATCTAACACAACTACTTACATATTTTTTATTTATTAATTTTTGCGAGTCCTGGGGCTTGAACTCAGAGCCTAGACACTATTCCTGAGCTTTGTTTTGACCAAGGTTCATGCTCTATTACCTCAGTGGCAGTGCCACTTCTGATCTTTTCTCAGTAGTGTGTTGGAGATAAGAGTCTCTGGGACATTTTCTGGCCAAGCTGGCTTATAACTGTCATTCTCAGATCTCAGCCTCCAAGCCTCTAGAATTACAGGCATCTGCCACCAGCACCTGGCTTCTTTTAATGTCTTAATTTTTTGAAACTGCTAGAGTGAATTCAGATCATATTTGTTTGCTGATACACTAACAAGTTGTTTCTTGTATAAACTGAGTTTTGTTCACTACTTTTGTTTCCTTCTCAGTCTATCATATGTCTCTGCTGCTATTTGATGCTGGTGTGAATGCATTAAAACATTGTGCTTTTCACAACCAAGTGTTGCTTCACAAAATTTTAACTGTTTTCATCTGCTTTATTATAAGAAATAATGTTGCTTGTTGGGCTCAGGACTGTTACTCCAGCTATTCAGGAGGATGAATCCTGAGGATCCAGGTTCAAAGCCAGCCCAGCAGAAAAGTCCATGAGGCTGTTATGGCCAATTCATCATGAAAAAGCCAGAATTGGCTGTGGCTCAATGTGGAAGAGCACTAACCTTGAGCAATATTAGCTCAGGAACAGCACTGAGGCCCCACTACTGACAAAAATAGGAAAAGAAAAAAGACATAATGATCCTTATAAATAAAGGGTTGGTTTTTGCCTCATCATTCAGTCAAGTATTTGTGTATATCACTAATCATGCTATTAATTAAAATAATATTTCCTGGAATTCTTTTTTCCCTTTATTTATGGGGCTAAAAATTAGGGCTTAGGCCTGAACCACAGATTCTGATGTGGATATTTCTGCCTGGACTGTCTTGCATGAATCTGGCTTTGCTAACAGATTCATATTTGTTCAGATTTCATGCTATTTTTTGTGTCACAATAAAATCCATGATTTCCTAGATATGGAAGAGATGATGGAAGCTGACATTGAAATGGGGGATTGCCTTCCTCACTTGACTACATCAGGGATCCTAGGGAAATTGGGTCTCCTTTGTCTTTACAACTACACCCTCCTATTTGGACGGAAGGTGAGACCCATCGACTCAGTCCTCAGCCATCTGGTCTTTCCAACAACTTGGTTATTTTATCCAAAGGGATCCCTCTAAGGATAGCAGGTTTGGGATGGAAATACTTCCTGGATGATACTGGATGTAAAGATGTTTTGTATTTACACAGAGTAACCAGAGGGGTTTCTCTTAATGCCATCTGCCTTCTGAATTGCTTCCAGGTCTCAAAGCTTTGCACTAGAAATGCTTGTTGGAAGATCACTACTAAATTCTCCAAGTGTTTTGGATTCTGTGGTTCCCTTTTCTGGATCCTGCATCTCCTGGTCAATGATTCTGTGCGTCTGAGAGTGATTGACCCAAGACAAAAACAAATATAACTTTGCATATGCATTATAGATATGCCACCACAGGAGCAGCCCCACCAAAACTATTTGTAGGTTTATTGCAGATCGTCTTATTCTCTTCCATTGATACTGTGTGCTTGGTTTTCATGATGTGGGCCAATGGCTCCATGGCTTTGTCCTCAACAGACACAAGCAGAGTGTCCAGCACATTCATAGCCACATTACCTCTGGAAGACTTGATCACGAGGCCAGGGCCATGAATACGATCCTGGCCCTGGTGAGCAGGTTCATCTCCTTCTACTGCCTCTCTGCCATTTTCACTATTTGTGTTGGTCTAAATATGAAACCAGACCTGTGGCTGCTGGACATGTCTGTGTTCCTGGATGCATGTTTCTCATTACTGAGCCCCTTTGTGCTCATCAGCACTGACACTCGTCTCACTCAGGTGTTTTATTCCTGCACTGAATAAAAGATTTTCCTGATTCACTTAAACCAAGCCATTAAATTCAATTTCCCGTTGGTTCATAGCTTTGTTTTTGCAGCAGTGGCATTCACACACTACACTCAGCACTGTAAGGGCATGGGCTCTACTACTAGAGACCTGCTCTAGAACTTTTTCAATCTGGTTATTTATTAATTTGTGGTCCTTAGGCCTGATGTCTGGGCCTGGGTTGCATTCCTCAGCTCTTTAGCTCAAGACTAATGCTGTACCACTTGAGCCACAGCACCACTTCCAGCTTTCTCTATTAATGTGGTGCTTAAGAATCCTCATCCATGCCAGGCAACCACTCTACCACTGACCAATCCTCCCAACTCAAACTGTTTACTTTTTTGAGCTATAGCCTTGCTTTGTAGCCATGTCAGCTGGCACCTTTATACTGGTTTTATGTGTTTCCTGAAGTACCTGGAATGAGAGATATGAATGTAGATGCTGAGGTTTTGTTGTTTAGATAGAGTCTTAGGGAATTGTTTTTACCCAGGCTGACCTATCACTGCAACCACCCCAATCTCAGCCTCACACATGGCTGGGATGCCTGGTGTATACCACTACACCCAGCTACTTTTGGAGGGGGGATCTTGTGAACTGTTTTCCTGGGCTAGCCTAGGATCTGAATCCTCCTGATTCAACCTTGCATGTGTGAGCCACTGCATCCACTTTGAATCAATCTTGGAGTTAAATAATAATAATAATAATAATAACAATAAAAACAATCATAATTATTATTATTACTATTGGACACTATCCCAGAGCTCTTTTGCTCAAGGCTAACACTCTACCATTTTGACCCACAATGTCACTTCAGGCCTTTACTGAGTAGTTTATTGGTGATAGGAGTGTCATGGACTTTCCTGCCAGGCTTGCTTCCAATTGCAATCCTCAGATCTCAACCTCCTCATAGCTGGGATTACAGGCATGAGCCACCAGCACCTGGCAAATATTTTATCTTTAAAATTCTTAAATGAGTATATAATAGAAGGTATTCTGTAAGAATCTGTGTTAAACTGACTGTAAGCAGACTTTGGGAGTATCTCAGCAGTGATTTTCCTGCCAACGCAAGACCCCAAATTTGTTGCCTGAACTTCACATAAAACAAAGTTATAGAAAATTTCAATGTAGTTAATGAGTCCTACTGATCTTTTATTGTCTTTTCACTAAGTAAATATTGCATAAGGTACAATTGCCAACTTGCAGTAACTAAGATACCAGAAGATAAATGTTATCACTCTATTATGCAGGAATTACATTTCACTTGTCTTCTTAACCCCATATATTGTGCTGAGTAAGTGTAATGAGTAGAAGTATTAAACTTTGAAATAAAATTCAATATTTAGCACAAAAGAAGTGTTATTACTTGTTTGTTTTTCACATTGGTACCTGAAAACATACTACCTTCAAACATTTAGATCCAGCATTTTCAGGGAAAGAAGAGTCGTCTAGAAGGTCTTTCTTGTGGATCACGACTATGTCAGAGATCTGAAGACATCCACCATGTTTGACCTACACCAGGAGAGATGGTGTCAGGTCAAGCAGTCAACCTGTGTCACTGCTGGTTCCTAAATATAATCCAGGACCAGTCCAGAATTCCATCCTTTTCCTAAAAGCATGACAGACACAGTGTGAGGCCTAACCTCATGCACAATATCAGCAGTCATCCTAAAGATGATCTAGTCAATGTTCAAGTAAAGTATACATTGCATTGACAAAGTTTCACAAGTTTTAGTTTTATTAAATTCCTATAATCTGTTACTAGAATATATATATATATATATATATATATATATAAAATTTGATTGGGGTGATTCAAATATAGGTAAAACACTGTGTGTGATAGTGTGTGTGTTTGTGTCTGTGAGATTGTCTGTGTTGGGAGGCCTTATATTACACATGCAATCTCTTCTTCAGTTATTCAGATTTCCTATTATTTTTTAATTCTATTTTGTATTCTTTTCTTTTTTTTCCCCTTTATGATCTTGGGGCTTGAACTAAGGTTCTGGATGTTCTCCCTAACTTTTACTAGATCAAGGCTAGTACTGTACAACTTGAACCATAGCACCACTTCTGGTCTTTTCTGAGTACTTTGTTGAAGAGTGTCATTAATTTCTTCTCATGGTTCTTTCCATCAGTGATCTTTAGACCTCAGCCTCCTGAAAACTAGGATTATAGGCCTGAGCCTACAGTGTCTTCTTCTTTGAGTCAATTTTGACAGGGGTAGTGCTCCTAGAGACTTTAACATTCCTAATTATATGTAATTATTAGAATCCATTCTGTGTGTGTCTTTGCATGCCCACACACGCATGCGTGAACATCTCTCTGTCTGTCTTTCTCTCTTTCTCTATCTGTTTCTCAGGTACCAGGACATGAATTCAGGGCCTGTGGTAGTTTATATTGCTTCCTCTAATGGTCTTCAACTTTAGCCATGACTCCAGTCCAGGATTTTTTTTCGGGGTGGGGGTCCGCTCATGGGGCCTGAACTCTGGGCCTGGGTGCTGTCCCTCAGCTCTTCAGCTCAAGGCTAGTGCTCTACCACTTGAGCCACAGCGCCACTTCCAGCT